GAAAGTATAGCCGAAACTCCGAATATGTTTGGTACTGGGGCCTTCTTACAACACATCCTGGCGTACTTTGCACTTGGACTTATATCTACGTACTTCTATAATAAAGTTCAGCTGATAAAACAACTGAAGCCAGCTGACCATACACAATAATATATATACGTCAATTGGATATTTGAAGAAGATGCTGAGGACGGCGATTTTTCGAAAAAAAAACTTCCCAAACGTTGAGACAGATTTGTCACTCTGGGGCTATAAAAAATCCTCAAATAATTAAAGCAAAACCATTACACCAAAAAAAAAACTTACTGTTACGTGCTTCGTAGGTATGATTGGGCCTTACTTCTTTGAAAACCACAACGGCGGGACAGTCTCTGCCTATTTGAAACGTTATGGTCATATAGTAACCGGTTTTTTTGACCTGCAATTGAAGAAGAAGGCCTGGAAACTCTGTGATTTCCATATGATGGTGCCACAGGAAATTCACGCTTCGTAAATTGGTCACCAAGGTTGTACGATTCGACACAGTCAGACTTTTTTTTGTGGCACTACGGAAAATACCGTGTTTAAGTGGATAAATCTTTAACTTTTGAGCACTTGTCTCAAGTTATGTCTGAAATACAATCCAATGTGTTTCAAAAAGTAGTCGAAAAATTTCTAAAATGGATCGAGGTTTGAGGTTTATTTGAATGATGTAATGTTTTACATATAATGTCAAGGTTCAAAATTTATAATAATAAAGGAGTGTTATGAAACAAATATTTTAAATACATTCTATTTACGATTGTTTTCGAAACCACAAAATGTGCTTGCGCGTGCAAGCCTGTGCAACAGCCATAGCATCTACCTAGAGATGTCGCTGCTGTCTTTTGTTCCAGCATAAGTGACTCTTTAAATTTATGGGAAGAGTCCAGTTGTCCCGTTAGATATCAATCTTATGTGGAAATCTTTAGAAGGCCAATGCTGCTTAATATATCAGGTGAAAGTGTGTTTTAGATTAATTTATGTAGGTTTGTACATATAGATACTTTCCTTCAATAAATTTTTTAATATTAATACGATAATGCTTCACACTTTTAGTGAGAGCTTGGCGACAGGCAAGTAAATAGTTTTTTCAGCTTTCTGAGGACCAGCACCTCCCCCGATCTCCGTTACCGGAATTCAAGATGATTTCCGGTCCCCAATTAACCCCGACACGAAGCAAAATGGAAGACGTTAAAAGCCATTGTGTCTTAAAAACCGTAGATCGCATCTTTTGTTTGAAGGAAAGGGGTCGAATATCCGCTCGCTCAAGGAGTTGAAAATCTAGTTTTTGTAGAAAGTACAATGTTTAAGTATGCTTGTTGGGAACTCCTGCCTGTAAAATTATTTCATATTCATGTCATTTAAGTTTAGCATAATTTCATTCTCATTTGTTTTATATACATGCTCTCGTTTGTAGCATACTCATTTTTGTACTCATTATTCTCATATTTATGTATCGATGTATGTTCGAAATGCCTATGTACCGCAACTGTTTTTCTTAGTCGCGAATTATACGTAGATGCGAGTATGTTGTGTACAAGCGGTAACGGTCAATGCAGTATAGCATTTCCCCTCTTAGTTTACTGTTTGTACACATATATATTTGTCAAATTAACGGAAATATTATTTGCAGAGAAGTTATGTACTCTTTGAAACCATATACCGCAGTATGTAGATCGCTTATTCCGTTTTTCGTATTTGCGCAGCTGTTGTGAGCGCAGAAGCCTTTAACAAAATTCAGTCGTCGACCAAATGGAATGAGTGAAGGACATACTGCGGTAAGTAACTATTTCTTAGTATATTTCTATTTTCTTAACTTTGTATACTTTTTGTTTAGAAATAAACCAAGTGATTTGTTCAATCTGATTTAAATTTCATTTGCGTTAAATTCGCAAGCGGGTCGACGATTACATTTTAATTTCGCAACGTGACAGCCAAATTGGATTAACAATTATTCTGCGATATGACTACGCGTTCACCACCCGCTCCAATAGCCGAGCAACACAAAGTATCGTTTGATATTGACGTTGCAGCGGATGCTACTGATTCGTCTACTACTCGCCATCCGGAGAAAATTAATATTCGTGCTTCATCTGCCGCCCGCCAGGAAACAATGTTTCAGGCAATACAGAAACGCATCGCCTCGCTTGAAAACAGCCTGAAAGTTGCCCAACAGAAGATAAAGGAACACGAGTCGTCAAATGCCATGCATGCCATAGAAGCTCGAAATAATGCCAGAGATCCCAGCGTCCAATCTGCTGGAGAAGTTGCCTTGCTATCGTCAAGTTTACCAACGCCACATCATTTTCAGCCACAATTGCCGACGCCCCTGAGCGTCACCACTAATGTAAGTACAGTATAGTTACCGCTGCCACCTCAGACCGCGACAAGCTATCCGCCGTATAGCAACAACCGCTACTCATCACCGCTATGTACACCAGTTGCAAACGGTTCGTCTGCCGCAACAACAACAAGTAGTATGTATACAAACTCGTTTGTGCCAATACACGAGCCGTATTTTAATAACCTTTCGTCGACGTTGCCCAATGGCGCCAACACGAGTTCCATACATTTGCAACCTCAAAGCCAACCAAGGAAATTGCAGGACCTACCAGAGTTCAGCGGCAAGGCGGAGGATTGGCGGATATTTTTTACTGCATATACTGAATCAACTGCAGTTTATGGGTACAGCTGTTTGGGAAACAACATACGATTGCAGGAAAGTTTGAAAGGCAAAGCACGAGAAGCAATTAAGTCACTACTAATCCACTCGAACAACGTGGGAAACATAATTGACCAACTGAAGCATCGATTTGGGCGCCCGGATCAACTTATTTATAGCCAGCTTGCCCAGGTACGAGAGATTGCCCCAATATCGGACAGCTCCATAGTGAAATTGATACCATTTGCTACAAAGGTGAGCAATATTTGTGCGTTTTTGCATTCTGCGCATGGTGGAGAGCAGAATATAGGGAATCCAACGCTTCTGAACGAGCTCGTGGGGAAGTTACCTATGAGCAAGCGTATAGAATGGGCACTCTTTGCGGCATCAATACAACCATACGCAAATGTGAACCATTTTAACGAGTGGCTAACTAAACTAGCCAATGTAATATGTACAGTGTACGATGGGGAGGCAACACGGGACTCAAAACACCGGGTTTTGCTACACGCTGCCGAACCACAACGCCGATCAGTTTGCCCCATATGTCAAGGTCAACACAAGCCAGCCGATTGTGAGCAGTTCAGCCAGTTAACTGTTTCAAAAAGATGGGAGGAAACAAAGCGATGTCACCTCTGTTTTGCTTGCCTTAATATCGGACATGGTTCGCGCAATTGCCGATATCGAAAGGTGTGTGGTATCAATGGATGTAAAAGGTCGCACCACAAATTGTTACACGAAGTTGACAGTACTGCCGACGAATCACCGAACCAGCCACTACCTCATCCAGATCGTTCCAGATGTGTTTCCAAAATTGATCCAAGTAAAGTTTTTAAGACATAGACGCAGCCAGCATCGCATAGTCAACAGAAAGGCGATATAGACGCAGCGGTCCTTAGTTGTAGCAATGATGTCGCCGCAAACAAACTGCTATTTCGAATTCTGCCGGTCGTTCTCTATGGGAACAAGATGTCAGTCGAAACGTATGCCCTCTTGGACGAGGGTTCGCAAATAACAATGATTGACAATACTCTCGTTAAAGAACTGGGATTACATGGCCGTAGCGAGCATTTGAACTTACAATGGTTCGGAGGTCGTGCCACTCAAGAGCCAGCCGTCGTAGTCGATGTTTTCGTAAGTGGATCCGATGCTCAAAGAAGGCATAGGCTGCGGAATGTGTATGGTGTGACAAACTTACAGGTGCCTTATCAGAGTTTGAGAAAAAATGATTTAAGCCATCTCGATAAGTACATAGACAAGCTTCCGATCCAGCCATATACGCATATCAGGCCAAAACTCTTAATTGGACTTGACCATTGTCACCTTGGTTTGCCATCAGCTACAATGAAGCTGAAAAAGTGTGGCCCCTTCGTCGCAAACATCGAGCTAGGATGGGTTGTATTTGGCCCATCAGCCAACATGTGCTCGGCAGTGCCATCATGTCTCTTCATTAACAGCTACACTGACCAGTCGCTACATAACGCGGTGGCCGATTACTTTAGTACAGATAGCTTTGGTATTAGGGCTGCGCTCCCCATCGAGAGCAAAGCTGATGTTCGTGCGCGCGAAATTCTGAAGTCTACCACGAGCCAAGTGGGCGGAAGACACTAGACAGGCCTGCTTTGGAAACACACAGCTGAAAATACTAACGAAAGTATAGGTGCATCATAAACTCGTATGTGGAGAAAAACTATGCACAAAGGTTATCCACCGAAGAAGCTGTAGTAACCAGCACGAGGACATGGTATCTACCACATTTCGCCGTGAGTAATCCCAATAAGCCGGGAAAGTTACGGATGGTATTTGATGCAGCTGCCGAAGTTAATGGTGTGTCCCTTAATTCGCAGCTTCTAAAGGGTCCGCAGCAATATAGGCCTTTACCTGCTATATTGTTCAACTTTCGTGAGAGAGCCATTGCCGTTTGCGGTGACATCAAAGAGATGTTCCACCAGGTGTTAATTCAACGTGAAGACCGATGTGCGCAACGCTTTCTCTGGCGCGATGGTAACACTGCCAAAGAACCCGATGTTTTTGAAATGCGAGTTATGACCTTCGGAGCAGCATGCTCGCCTTGTGCTGCCAACTACGTCAAAACATTAAACGATATGGAGTATCTAAAAGAGGACAGTGGTGCCGCTAGAGCAGTAAAATCCATATTAGACTACCACTACGTGGATGACTATGTCGACAGTTTTGACACGGAAAAGGAAGCAGTAGATGTGTCACAAAAGGTGCGTGCAATTCACGCGAGAGCAGGTTTCGAGGACTTGGTGGTGACGAGGAGGCTCGTCAGATAGCGAAGAAGGATGGAGGACAGATGGAGAAGATTCTCGGCTTATTCTGGAAGGCATCAACTGATACATTTGGGTTTGATCTGAGATTCCACAATGTAGAACCCAGTGTGATGAACGGAGAACGACGTCCGACAAAGCGAGAACTCCTAAGCGTGGTCATGTCAATCTTTGATCTGTTGGGATTTCTAAGTAATTTCGTGGTCAGCGCTAAACTCCTCATGCGGGAAGTGTGGAAGTACGACATCCGATGGGATGAGCCATTGCCGAACATAGTAAACGCTGCATGGGAGAAGTGGCGTGAACAGTTTCCGGCTGTTGCCGGTTATGCCATTCCTCGATTCTACTTCCGCAATGGTCTACCCAAAATCCTGCAACTCCATATTTTCGTAGATGCCAGTGAAGATGCGTTTGCCGCGGTTGCATATTGCAGGTCATCTAACGCTATTGGCAAGGTGGAAGTCGCATTTATCTGTGCGAAGACCAAATGTGCACCGATGAAAACCCTTACCATACCGAGACTGGAGCTACAAGCGGCAGTTCTGGGCACACGACTGATGAACTGCGTACGTGAGGAGCACTTGTTGCCTATCGAAGATTGTATACTCTGGAGCGATTCCCAAACAGTAATCCAATGGATCCGGAGTGAACACCGGCGCTATAAGCCTTTCGTGCAGCACAGAATCGCCGAAATACTAGCTGTCACAACCGTTAAAAATTGGCGATGGTTGCCCACTACGGAGAGCGTCGCGGATGAAGCCACTAGAGCAAATAATCGTATCGATTTTAGTTCATCTGCACGTTGGTCCAGCGGTCCGCCATTTTTACATCAAGACGAGAACCTTTGGCCATTAGAAACCTCGTCGTGCAATCCTCAGAAGGAAGCGGATAAAGAACTAAGCCATAAATACGCTCTTACTATCCTAACTTGTAAGTTTTTAGACTTTAATCGATTCTCTTCTTTCAACAAATTAGTGAGAACCGTAGCATGGGTACAGAGGTTCATCAATGTTTGCCGCCGCCGTAATCAATCAGACCTGTGCTATGGCTTGACAGCAAAGGAAATCGAGATGGCAAAGCTTCGATTGTGCTGCTTGGTTCAACGTGATGAATTCTTTGCAGAGCTTCAGCAGATCGAAGACGGTAAAGTCTTAGCACGTTCCAGTCCACTAATTAAGCTCTCGCCATATAAGGACGAAGATGGAGTACTTCGCATCCGAGGACGCATAGATGCCGCCTCGTGGCTTCCAATGAGTGTGAGGCGTCCAATAATATTGCCACCAAGTCATGCCTTCACAAAACTTGTCGTGGCACACTACCACGACAACATGCATCATCAAAATGTAGAGGCTACGATTTGCGAAATTCGACGAAGTTTTTGGGTACCACGTTTGAGAAACCTTCTACGCAGTATAACTGCCAGCTGCGCCGTGTGTCGCTTAAAAAAGGTGAGAGCCGTGTCACCACTAATGGGTCCGCTTCCAACGGATAGGCTTACGCCCTATGTAAGGCCGTTTAGCTATACTGGTTTAGATTACTTCGGTCCAGTAACTGTCACCGTACGACGCAGCACCGAAAAGAGATGGGTGGCGTTATTTACGTGCTTGTCCGTGCGTGCTGTGCACTTGGAGCTGGCCCATGATTTAAGCACAGACTCTTGCATAGTCGCCATACGTAACTTTATAAATCGGCGTGGTGTACCTGTTGGGATAAGGTCTGATAATGGGAAAAATTTCGTTGGCGCCGACATGGAAGCGAAACGGTTCAGCGAGGTATTTGATTGTAATCGTTTGCAATCCGAACTGTCACAGAAGGGCATAGAATGGGTATTTAATTCGCCTTTCAACCCTGCGGAAGGCGGCGCTTGGGAGCGATTTGTGCAATGCATCAAGAGAGTCCTACGGTACACTTTAAAGGAGGCGCAGCCGCGCTAGCATACGCTCAATTGCTTCCTCATCGAAGCCGAAAATGTTGTAAATTCTCGACCGTTGACGCACTTACCAATCGAACCCAATCAGGAGCAGCCTCTGACACCCAATGATTTCCTATTAGGCGAAGCCAATACAGCGCGAACTCCAGTTATGAATGATGCCGTGGAGAAGACGTGCCGTTTACGACAACAATGGCGCATTGCTCGACAACTCAGGGATCATTTCTGGAAGCGATGGATAGCGGAGTATCTTCCCACTTTGACACGGCGGGTGAAATGGTGCCAGAAAACAACACCCATAAAAATTGGTGATCTTGTCTTCATATGCGACCCCTCCACACCGCGTCGAGAGTGGCGCAGGGGAAGAGTAGAAGCAACATATCCTGGAGCTGATGGCGAAATCAGGAAAGTTGACGTATACACATGCAGTGGACTAAAACGACGATCCGTATCCAAATTGGCCATACAGGGGTGGGAATGTTGGGAACTCCTGCCTGTAAAATTATTTCATATTCATGGCATTTAAGTTTAGCATAATTTCATTCTCATTTTTTTATATACATGCTCTCGTTTGTAGCATACTTATTTTTGTTCTCATTATTCTCATACTTATGTATCGATGTATGTTCGAAATGCCTATGTACCGCAACTGTTTTTCTTAGTCGCGAATTATACGTAGATGCGAGTATGTTGTGTACAAGCGGTAACGGTCAATGCAGTATAGCATTTCCCCTCTTAGTTTACTGTTTGTACACATATATATTTGTCAAATTAACGGAAATATTATTTGCAGAGAAGTTATGTACTCTTTGAAACCATATACCGCAGTATGTAGATCGCTTATTCCGTTTTTCGTATTTGCGCAGCTGTTGTGAGCGCAGAAGCCTTTAACAAAATTCAGTCGTCGACCAAACGGAATGAGTGAAGGACATACTGCGGTAAGTAACTATTTCTTAGTATATTTCTATTTTCTTAACTTTGTATACTTTTTGTTTAGAAATAAACCAAGTGATTTGGTCAATCTGATTTAAATTTCATTTGCGTTAAATTCGCAAGCGGGTCGACGATTACAATGCTTATGTGTTGATTTTTAAAAGTTACACTCCAGGGCAGAAAAATGTGTACGTCAAAAAAATACCATTTATTTTAATTATACTGTGATCTAAAATCCATAGCGAGAAAGTTTTGCTCCCACAGCGAATATAATAATAGTGAAATATTTTCAAAACCTTATAGAATTTATCGCAAATAACTGAAATGTTAGTTTAAGAAAAAAATTAGAAAAATTAAAAAGTTTCTTCTTATTTTCTCATGGGAAGGGAAAAAAATTTTTATTAAAAAAACTTTAATTATATGGAAAATTAGAAAAAAGGTATCACCCTAATACAGTTTTCGCGTTGCCCTATACTATCACAACAAAATACTCTAGCACGAAAATAACAAAAGAGCCTAACCACTCGACAAAAAAATAATAGAATAAAAAATAACAAATACTTTATATTGTCCGCTCTGACAACACATAATTATCCAAAAAAAATTTTCACATAAAAAATATTCAACTCAACTAAAAATGTATAGCAAAAACCTTTGATTAACCAAAAAAAAGGTAAAAAGGACACTACTGGTCACTTTCGGACCGGTCTCAACACACTTGACCAACAATTTATTTTACTACCGGTATAATGCTCCTATACAATATACCGCAACAAACAAGAAAAAATTTGCAAAACGTAACGGACTCACCAAATTCCTTTTCGATATGTCAAGTTGTTGATTTTCGGATGGGGTTCTGGGTTCGACCCCTAATAAAACTCTTTCTTTGAATAATCCTACCAAGAAAAACATGGAAAAATATTAAAAAAGCTGCCAACAACAACCAACGATACGAAAGACACAGAATTTTCCAAAATACTCCTCTTTTGGTAATTATATTAATTTTTAAATATCGGGCCCTACGTTGGGCTCCAATTCTTTATAGTTTTCATGTGCAAAATACTTCTGTGAGTAGCTTTATATTACAGTATTTCTTTAAAGAACACGGTTATTTTGCCGAATATAATAAATGGACTCGCACAAATAGCTATGCGTAAACTAACTGACTAAAAGTAATAGTAAAAAAAAACTTATGATATTTTTAATAAATAGAAGAAGAAAGATTTTAGACTTTCTATAGAAAAAGAAAATCATGTGGCAACTACAACCGAAAAATATGAGGAACTCACCTTTACCGTTAACTCATTTCGTATTTCCCGGGACGGAGGTATCGAAGGTAAAGAGTATAAGCTTTAATAAACCTCTTTCTGTACACTCAATTCTATTTTTATGTTACCAAGTGTTGGTTTACAGGGAAAATAATATAACTAACCACAAATACACACCTCCAAACCAATAATAACGAGTTCGCTACATACACTCTTCGTGCTCAGGCAGATAAGTTTCGATTAGTTTGGAAAAAAATTAAAGAGAGATTATACCTTCAAATTTTGAAAAAAGAAACATGTAAAGGTTTTCCCAATGAGAAGTATTGTTTTGAAGAGCCTGCTGCTCCGGTAGATGTCACTTTCGAAGTTGTATTTATTTGACATTTGATAAGAAGTACGCTAGGAATAATAATGGAACATACACGCTTCAACCATACATTCAAACGATTAAAATTTCCTATAAAATTGATGAAAACCTGGCAGAGACGGTTTAGTCTTCGCGACCTCGACGAACCGCAACACAGAAATTGGTGAAAAAAATGGAGGTGTTTGGACTGGATAGTTAAGAGAAGATTAATATTGTTGCTGTAACCCAAAGTTTTGAAGAAAACCCAGATTTGTCCATTACTCGTCGTCCTTTAAAACTCGGAACTCCATAAATGTCATTACACCCTACTTTGCGTATGTCTTCAGACTTTGATGGCTACGTCAATAAGCAAAACTGTCTCATATGGGGCTCGGAAAACTTAAGATTTATTGTTGAAAAGCCTTGCCAATCTCAACTTGTAATTATTTGGAGTGGTTTATGGTCCGGCGGGGACCTTACTTTTTCGAAAATGAGGCTGGAGTAACAGTTACTGTGAATGGATTGTGCTATCGAAGATGAATAATATTTTTTTGTCGGAATTGGATGGTATTGATCTGGACAACTTCTGTTGTCAATTACGTGCCACACAAGCAACAAAATCCTCGAATTTTTTGGTAAAATGAGGTGATCTCAATTGGCCACCGAAAACTTGTTATTTTACACCTTGTGACTTCCTCTACAAGATCTCAAATTTGTGAGTCTATGGTAGGCATATAGCACTCACTTTCCGAGTTGGTGATGAAAAATTTCATAAAAGTGATACAGTCCTGTGGGCTCAGTCGTGTCAGCAGTTTATTTAGCTGATATTGTTTTTCATTATTAATGACAAATCTCTTCGGAAAAAGTTAACATTGATCTCAGAAAAAGTCAATTTTTATTTGAATATCAAAATAACACCTCTCATTGGAAAATCCTGTATTGACTGATCAAGCTTATAATACTTCTGAAGATATTAAAGTTAGCGATGTATAGAAAAATGCCACTTCCTTACTGCTATTTCAAAAGCAAATTCGTTAAAAAAGTATGCATTAGATTATATTATTTGTTCTTTCTCTTTGCCCGAATTTATATCCTGAGTCTCATAGATAGAAGTTTTTAAATGCACAATTATAAAAGGAATCGGTAAAATAAGCAGAAAACAATTGTAACTAATTTATTTAAGGCTTTATAAAGTATTTAAAGTTTAATTAAAATAAAATTATTCACGTCTCACAATTACAATGTTTTAGTTATTTGTTCTGTATTTTATAATGATAATTTTTTATATTTTTTACTTTTTAAATTCTTGTTTGGTGTATTAAGTATTTTTGCATACATTTTTTAAGCTCTAACGCAGTATAATTTTATGGAGAGGTAATTGATTTTATTCACTTTTATTATATATTATTAATTACATATATGTACTTATACCTACCGACCGATATTTGATTATAATATCATTATTACTTTCGCAAGGTACAATAATTAAGAATAAATCAATGGGTTTACAATGGTTAGGACAAACGCATAGCTTTGAAAACGTGTGCGCTTATGTCTATATGTATATTTTGGAATGTATGTATATTTTAAGCACTTAAGTACTTAAGTGTGTAAATTAAGCGTTTATAATTGCTGTTTTGATTGGATTTGCAGAATCAAATTAAATTATTGATTGGAATTATAAGAAAAAGAAAATATTATGCTTTTGTTAAAAAATTATTGAGAAGTATATATTACATGTATGTATGGTATATACACAGCCGGACAAAATAATAGGTGTGCCTAAATTTGTTTGACAAAAATGCTTGTCTTTCATTTGTTTTCCATATTTACTTCAAATAATATTATGTTTTTGAACTACCATAAACATATTTCAGAATTCAATTAATTTATAAATTTTCGAAATGATGTAATTTTTTGCTTATTACGAAAAATTCACAAAATAGATGTATGTTTGGCCTGAATTTCACTAAATAAGTTAAAAAAATTTATTAATACCGTCAGTAACGGTATTAATAACTCTCTAGATTGCTTCGGGCATTGACATAGACTTAATTTTCAACAAATTTTAAGAGTATGGTCACACCAAACCTTCTGAAAATTTTTCCATAGCTGTGTTTTATTCCAGCAAATGGTTTTCGATATTTCACTTTTAAGCTCTCAGCGTCCTGGATAGTACTGGTATTTGGAGATTAATTTAGCCATTCCAGGATGTCCAGTATACGTTCTTTGGACCATGATTTTATATATACCGTTGTTGTATCCCACTTAAGTTTTCATAACAACACCATGTACTCAGCATGTGGTAACATTACAATTTGGTACAAATCTTTGTAAGCGAATCTATCCATGATCCCATCAATCTGATGTATATGGCCTACACCTGTTCTTTAAAAAGCAGTTCCATATCATTGAGCTGCCATCTCCATCTTGTATAAAATACTTCTATTTTTGGTG